TTTGGCTTTGTTTTACATGAAAAATTGTCCATTAAAGTGAAAAAAAAAATCAATTGTTATGAAATTTGTTTCCATTGGAAAAAAAAATATGTCCCAAAAATAATGGAAAAGAAGGCGTGTGAGCCTTGGCTAAGAAAACTATTTCCCCTCCAAATGTTACTCATCAAACATGTCAATTGGTTGGAAAAGGAAATTAAATTCCGAGTTCCATGGAAAAAAAGTAAATCAAATAGGCCCTAAAATTTTCTTTAGATCGTGTTAAAAGGACAATGACGTTGTGATTGTTAAAGATTTAGCCTCTGTTTGGTTTGACTGAATCAGATTTTTTTAGAGTGTTTGGTGTGGATTAAAATTAGATTTTTAGTAGATCATGATAGAAATTTTTGAAATGTATGGTTGAAAAGATATGGGACCCATGAAAGATATGGTTAATATTGATTGTTTGACTTTGACTTAAATTAAAATCAGATTTTATTCCGGCCCAAGCATGCCCTAATAAATTTTGATAAAGTTAATGACTTTATAATTGTAAAGTTGAAAAAAGTTGGGATCCCATAAAATGGATAGTTAAAAATATATTTCTTTTTTAAAAAAAAAAAAGAGTATTAGAAAATTGGAGTTTAAGATACAAATAATTTATAAATTCAATCAAAAGTCGAACATTAATTTCAACCGCACATTCATAACTACTGTTCATTATTATCCATATATTTCGTAAAAACTACTACTATTCTTATTTATAAATATTTATAAATTTAGCCAAAGGAAGATAAGTTACTTTGAGATTTACAAGATTTTACATTAACACATGCAAATCATTTCTCATCATTTAAACTTTTTCCAATGAAATAGTTAATATGGTATCAGAATTACGTAAAAAAATTTAGTTGAAGTCTCTTCATCCTCTTTCTATGAGAAATTATATGCATCTTAGACAAATATGAATCATTCTATATGTGTTCCTATTGAAGACAAGATTTAAATGAATATTTGTTGTCATATCGTAACATTTTAAACTTTTAAATAAGGTAATTAACCTAGTATTAGAACTTGACAAAAGAATACGTCCAAGTCTCGACGCCACCTAAACATAAAAAACGTGTTGAAGATAAAATTTAAATAATGACTCATCGTAACTTAATTTTATCTTTCACTTGTTCTTGTTTATAATTAAGAAAAATGTACAAAGAATTGTTTAATGTTGTATTTTTCTTTTTGGTTAAACAATAATTGGTCAATTCGACAAATGAAAGAGTCAGTGAAATTTGTTGTTTGTCCAAAATGCCGTTCTCAATGATTCAATTAATCCAGGAATTTGTAAATAATATTTAAAGTTTATTTATTTAACCATTTCTTTACCTACTCTAATACCATATTGTACAACGTTTTAGTTGTTACGGTTAAACTAACCCCACATCGAGGCTGGATGCAATTTCATTAAGGGGTATACAGATTAATCAATTTTGATAAATAAGTGACGGCAAACATCAAATCGTCACAAACGTGTTTATTTGTTTAAACTAGTCTTAGATCATAGGCAATAAATTTATTTATTTAAACTATGTCTTCAACAAGTGCATAACGGGAATGAATGTATAATTAGTACATTTGAGAGGAA